AGGAGGAGGAGGAGGAGGAGGAGGAGGAGCAGGAGGAGGAGGGGCAGGCGGCGGCGAGCGGCCGCCCGCCGATGCCGCGAGGAGGGATTTTCTCTGGCCTGCCGTGAGCACACGGCCGGCGGACGTGGGCGGCCCGCTGGAGCGCTGCGCGCGTCCCCCGAGGCGGCTGCCGCCGCCTCCCGGGCGCTGCCCCCGCGGGCCCCGCCGCGCCGCGCCCGGCCGCCACGAAGAGGCCTTCGAAAGGGGCCGCGCAGGGCAGCCGCGCCAGAGAGCGCGGCGAGCGGCCCCGGTCGATTCCCCGCACCGCCCCGCCGGCAGAGGAGGGCGGCGCCGCGCGGGAGGCCATCTGCACGGAACCAGGACTGAACATCAACGGTGTTTTCGTTTTCGTTTTGTCTTCGTTTTCCCTCGTTCTGTCTCCAGTCCGCCTTTCACGCAAAACGAAATCGAAACGAAAGCGGCCCACGAAATCGTCAAAACACCGTTTAGATCCAGCCCTGCACGGAACCGCACCAGTCGGCGCGCAGAATACAGCGGAGGCCCGTCCACAAGAAACCTTCCATAAGAAACCCAACCCTGAGACACCAGGGCGTCCATTGATTTCTGGAGTGGGAGCGTCGCGCTCTCCGCAGCAGAACTCTCGAAACCCACGAAACCCAGGGCACCCTGGAAGAAAGCAGGATGTTTCTTGGCATGGGCGTCCACTGTAAGGCTGCGCGGCAAGGATGCAAGCCACTTGGACGTCCAAGAGTTGAGGCCCTTTGGGCCAAGGACGTTCTGAGGATGGGCCGAAAAGGCATGGATGCAAGGGTACCGTCGGGAAGGTCACTCAACCTCACCGTGCGCGTTGACTGTACTCCGCGGAAGAGTTCGTCTAAGCCGAGCTCCCCAGACAAGACACGCGGCTCCAGAGGCCCAACCACTGTGGGCCGACGAAACGCCTTGGATCAGCAAACCCGTCCGAGCAGTCCAGGCCAGATCGCGCGAAAAGCTAGGCGGGGGCCAATCGCATTTCCCACAAATCATCAAGGATAACAAGAACTTCAAGCTCCTCCCTCGAGGCCTGCAACCCCTTCCGCGCAGCCCGCACTAGAGAGACCTAGTCCGATGGGGAGGGCGATCATCGGCCAGACAAAGTCCAGCCCTTGTCTTGCCGTGCCCAGGGGAAACAGCCCTTCAGGAACCTCGAACGCTGTCTGTGGCTCGTGCTGGAGCCCGAGCCACCCTGTCTCACTGGTAATCCCACGATCTCCCTCGCCCCTCAGCCCAAGTCGCGATCCCGCAGCAGGCTGTGAGCAGGCCGTCATGGCGCAGCGCCAGCTTGTGCATCGCCAGTTCCACCCCGAAGGAATTATGGCCGATCGGCATGGAGACGAAATCGAATCGGATCGGCCGCGCCAGGATGATGAACAGCAACCCCGTGCAGGCATCTGGGCGCATCAAATCGCCCGAACAACGGAATCGAACCGAATCGGGCCGGCCGGCCCGAGCCGAGATCGAGTCGGATCGATCGGATCGAAACGGAGCCTGAAAAGTCGGGGGCAAACCCGGAACACCACACGAGCCAAGCCGACAGGTCGGGGGAGTGCGGAGTGGACGGCGCTCGCTCTGCTGCAGCTCGGGTAGGCAGAAGAAGAGGCAAGATCGAACCTCCCTCTTCCTCCTCCTGTATCCTCCTCCTCTTCCTCCTCGCCGACGTCGAGCTCCTGTTCCTGTTCCTGCTACCCCCGCCTCTGAGCAGCGTCGTCTCCTCATCGGTATCGCTCAGGGCAAGCCTACCTTCAGGCACCTGCGAAACCGAAGCGAGGCACCATCGGTGCGCACACAACTTGTCGTCGCCGTCCTCCTCCTTCTCCTTCCATCATCACCATCATCGTCATCATCATAACCATCATCAGCAACATCATCCGACTCTATCATAATCATCGTCATCGTCATCATCATCATCATCATCATCATCATCACCATCATCATCATCATCATCATCATCATCATAATCATAATCATAATCATCATCATAAGCAGCAGCAGCATCATAAACAGTAGCAACATCTGCATCATCAGCATCATCACCATCATCATCAGCATCACCACCATCATCAGCATCATCATAAGCATCATCATCATCATCATCATCATCATCGTCATCATCATCATCATCATCATCAGCAGCAGCATCATCATCATCATCAACATCATCATCATCATCACCATCAGTTTCATCATCAGCATCAGCATCATCACTAGCATCATCAGCAGCAGCAGCACGTTGTCATCACCATCATGTTCATGAATATCATCAGCAGCACCATAATCATAGTCAGCATCAGCATCAGCATCATCATCATCATCATCATCATCATCATCATCATCATCATCATCATCATCATCGTCAGCATCAGCATCATCATCGTCGCCATCATCATCATTACCACTCGTCATCATCAGCATCATCATCATCCGCGTCATCATCATCAGCATCATCATCAGTATCAGCATCATCATCATCATCATCCACGTCATCATCATCACCAGCATCAGCATCATCATTTTGCATGAACAGCGTCAACATCATTCGCATGATCATCATCATCAGCAGCGTCCTCGTCATCATCAGTATCAGCATCATCATCACCATCAACCACATCATCGTAATACATATCAGCATCAGCATCAGCAGTGGCAAGATCATCATCACCATCATCATCAGCAGCAGCAACGTCACCAACACCATCATCAACTTCATCAAATCCTCATCGTTGATTCCACCATCACCATCATCACCATAGATACCGTCATCGGCAGCCTGAGCAACACAATGACCATCACCATCAGCAGCAGCATCACCATCGACTGCATCACCAGCATGACCATCACCATCAGCATGATCAGCACGATCATGCGTATCTTGATCTGGATCTGCATATCATAATCGGCATCACCATCGTCATAATCAGCCTCAATTTCATTATCCTCACCTATCTCAGCATCCCAATCATTATAATCATGATCATGGTCATCATCATCATCATCATCATCACCATCATCATCATCAACATCATCATCAACATCATCATCAGTTTCATCATCATCATCATCATCATCATCATCATCATCATCATAATCATCATCATCAACAACATCATCATCATCATCATCATCATCATCATCATCATCATCATCATCATCATCATCATCATCATCATCATCTCCGAGCACATCCTCTTCCTCTCCGTCCTCATCCTAAGTACCACTCATCAAATCAAGGCCGCGCTCCTGTAGCAGTCACCGAAGCGCTCGATCTCACTCTGCACCTCAGCTCCCAGCAGCGCCGAATCCCGAGGCCGCCCAGCTGGGGAAGACAGGACGAATGGGGACAAGGAAGTGACGAGGGTGCCTCCTCACGCGTCCTCGTCCTCCTCTTTCTCATCCTCATCCTCCACCTCCTCATCCGCCTCATCCGACTCTTCATCCACCTTCTTCACCTGCTCATCCTCCTCCTCCTCCTCCTCCTCCAAATCATCCACCCCTTCCACCTCGTCCTCATTCTCAACCTCCTTCTCATTCTCCTCCTCCTCATCCTCCTCCTCCTCCTCTTCCACATCCTCCACCAACTTCTCCTCCACAAGAACACAATATGAACACTACTCTCCTCTCTCCCCTGACTCTGTCCGGAGAGTGTCCTGTCCTCCCCGCGTACTTTTTACACACAGGATTCCATGATATGGTATGATTGTGCTTTTTCGATCCAAACGTTTCGCGTTCTTCCAAGATGGGGCTCCCGCTGCAGCGCCGCCCTCGTTTCCGCGCTTGGGTCATTCAAAATTATACTCCCGCTGCAGCGCTGGCCTCGTTCCCGCTGGTCTCCCTGGGCTCTGGGTGCTCCGGGGAGCCCAAGGAGACTTGGGGGGGGGTCCGGAGAATGCGAGGCAGCGTGTCGAAAGGAGGGGTGGGGCTTCAAAAATTACCATACCCCCCTTCCAGACGGCACTTGGCATTCGAAAGCGCCCAGGTTACGGAGGACACGGAGCCGGCATTCCGGACAGGCCCTGTCCTCTCGAAGACGGCCCACTTACCCTCCAAAACATCTGGTGCCATGCCACGGCATGCAATGCGATGCTGTGTTGTACACCGCTGTGCGATGCCATGCTTTCCGTTGCTATGCTTTGTGATGCACTGCACATCTACGCAATGCCACGCCATGCTATGACATGCTATGATCTGCCGTGCTCTTCTACGCCATGCATTTCCATCCATCGCGTACCCTCTTGGGATAGTGGCCCTGCTCGACATCCGACTGTGCGACTGTGCGAATAGATAAGAGATCTACGCCGTGGTAAGGGATGGGAGGGAGGGGTAGGACGGACGTCAGATGTGACGCTAGCGCACCTAGCTTGACCTCCTCCCCGTCCTTCTCCTCCGTCTCCTCCTCCAGCTAGGCGTGCCGCTGCTCCGAAATGGAGAAAGAAACAGTGCCAAGGCGCAGACTATCATCCGTGGGGGACTGACGACCCTTGCTTTCGCGCTGGAGGACGTGATGGTGCTGGAGAAGGAGACTAACCTGTGCAACCGACAGATCCTGCGTGGTGAAAGGCCGTGTGCGGCTGACTGCAGGGGGGATGCACACAGCCAGCGTCGACGTGTGGCAGAACGTGCAATGTACGATCAGAGAGAGAGAGAGAGATGAAAGAGAGAGATGGAGGTGTTACTCTTGGTGAAGATCGAGAGCCATCAGAGATTCCAACAAGCACAGGACTCGAGAGCGCCTCTGGAATCCTTCCTGGTGAACTCGATGGCGGACGAGGCTGCGGAGTTCTGGGCCAAGAAGGTGGCTCTGGACGCCAAAGTGGTGGACTCCATCGAGCCCGGCTCAGAAAAGGAAAAATCGTTCTGGCATCGGCGATGCATCGACGGTAGATCGGCGATAAGCTCTCGAAGGCGAACCCGTACGTTCTGGGGGGGAGAGGGCTATCGGGCACCTATCGGTGATCATCCCACCTGAGCCTACCCCCCATAATGTTGCCCTTGACTGACTAAGAGTAAGTCGGGCACGTCCCTCTACAGGAGGAATATATCAAAGTCGTAGAAAAATAGTCTAGGGACGAGTTCCCTTTTATGCTTTGACTATTCCCGATAACTGTTTGACGACTGTTTCCCTCAAAAAATCCGCCTGTCGGAAGACATGCCCGACCTAAGACTAGGGACGAAGCCAGGACCAGGACGAAATCGGGCTGGGACGAACCGGAGATCTCTGAGATCCAGCGGCTCTGGAAGCTGTGCGGGGTGCCGCGGCCATTGCTAGGGGGCCACATGTAGGGTTCGCATGCGGCCCCCCCATTGCAGAGCGCTCCCGAACGCTCCGAGAGCGTCCTGGAGCACTCTGGAGCCGCCCGGTGCGACAACACCTGCAGCGCCCGCGCTCTCAGAGAGTATAGCCCGGTGTCCCACCCGGCTGGCTCCCCCCCTGGGAGGAGGATAGGGGGCCACATGCGAACCCTATCCCTACCCCCAACGAGTTCTGAGGGGTGGGGTTCACTTCGTTCGGGAGCTCCCGAGCGAAGTGAACTCCACCCCCCCTCAGAAATCGTGGGGGGTAGGGGTAGGGTTCGCATGTGGCCCTCTAGGAGGAGCAGCCTGCTCGATCTCGCACTTGAACCGCAGCACCTCCTCTCGGGGAGACGCAAGACTCGTGTGCGGGGGACTCGGGTTGGCCTGGCGGGGCAGATGACGAAGCCCCATCTGAAATTTGACGCGAGCTCCCGCTGCAACCATCCCACGAACACCGGACCGTCAAAATCCAGGACGCCCTCGTCGAAAAACGTCGGCAAACCCGAGTTCCCGCTTACTCGAGTCTTACGTAAGGTCGGGCATGTCCTCCTAGAGGAGGATTTTCGACGAAGAATGAAACATAATCAAACAAATTCAACAATGGCTCGAAAATATTCAACGAATCGTCCCCGGATGATTTTTCGCATACTTTTGAACATTCCTCCTGTAGGGGGACGCGCACGACTTTACCCGAGTCTTACGTTCCCCCGATCCTCGCTGAGGTCCGCCACGCCACCGCCGACGCTCGCGCCGCCGGTGACCGGGTCGAGCACCTGCGCGGTGGCCGCCGCCGCCACCGGCCGCCGCCGCCGGCCTCGCCGCGCCCTCGAGGCAGAAGGCCCAGGCCTCCCACGGTGTGCACGTGGTGCGGGCCCGGCGGCTCTCCTCAAGAGGCCCCCGCCGCGAGCGCTCCCCAGGTGCCAGACCCCCGACGTCATGCTTTTTGCACTACGTCGACGCCCCAGAGGTCTGGACCCATTCCCAGGGACCAGTCTTTCATCCCGAGTCGTTTTGTTGACGGTCCCGAGGCCCGGTAGGGGCCCCCAGAAGCCGAAAATAGCGAAAAACCCTGCGTCGTGATGTTTTCAGAACGCGAAGGGGTCTGGGGTGCCAGAAGCGCCCCGAGCGGCCAGCGATGGCCCGGAAGCCAGATTTTCGAGGATGTGGTCTTTGCCAGCCCCAGCGGCTCTTCTCGACCTCGCCCTGTTCTCTGGGGCACGCGGTCGGACACCCCCCCAGGCCCTCCGCGCCGGGCCCGGCCCACGAGGTCCCGGCTGAGATCCGGCGCTGCCAAGCAGCTTGCAGGGGGGGGCCCATCGTTCCCTGACGTCGCACCTATGCGGTGCCCCCCCCCCCACTCTCTGCGGACGGCCAGATGCGCAGACCGCCGCCCCCCTTGCGAAGACGGAACAGATGGCGGCACATGTGGCCCCCCTCTCGAAATGGCGGCCTCAGGGGTGCCGGGCGATAGCGCCGTTGAAGCGACCCCCCCCCGCCAGACTGGGGTGCAACATTGCAAGGAAATCACGATCGGACCCCCGGGCCCCATCTGAGCGACGATCAGAAGCGAGGCTTACGCGAGAAGACGTAGCGACCTGACGCGGTGGCCTACGCGAGCCGCCAGCGCGGCTTACGCGAACAGCCAGCTCACACGCCGATGTCGGCGCAGACGACCCCACTTTTTTGCCTCGCCCGTCTTCCCGCGTCACGTTTCGAGCCGGATCGATCTGTGAGGGTCCCGGGGGCCGATTCGGCCCGCAGTGGAGCGACAACGCCCGGCTCAAAACGACTGCATCGTCAGGATCTCAGGGCCCGCAGAGACCCCACCGCACGGCCCACCGCTTCGGGGCCCCGGTGGCCCCAGCTGCTCGGGAGATCTCCTCAGAGAACGGCGGGCCGTGCGGTCCCCACCCGAATAGCCCCCCCGCGTCACCGCACGGTGTGATGTGGGGCAGCGTCTGGGGAGCCCCCCGAGTGCCTGAGCCTCTCTGGGGGCACGCTGGGGCGCCCTCGTAGCCACGGCGAAAGGGACCCCGCACATCCGACGCCACGCTGCCTTCGTGGCGTGGTCCTCTCGACCACGTCGGGGGGACCGGCGCTTCAGCCTGGACCGTCTCCTCGACGGCCCCGTCGCCCAGAATTTGGGCCCCCGATCAGAGGTCGAGAGATCGAGGGAGCCAGAACGGCCACCGCGACTTGTTGATTCTGTGACGCCGTGATCTGCGCGACGATCGGAAACGGGTCCTACGTAAGATTACATAGCGACCGTACGCCGCAACTGACGCGGGCCTCCAACGCTACACTGGAAGCGAGGGCGCTCACGCGCGCACTTACGCGGGCAGATTATGCGCGAATGTCAGCACAGTCGAACCCGTATGTCTGCGTCGCTCCTCTGGAGGGGTGGGACATGGCCCAGGGAAGCAGGACAAGGCAGGATCTGCCGGCACCGAGTCGGGAAATGGGTCGAATCGAGATGTGCGTCGGACCGGGTCGCACTGGCACGACGCCCGAACCGAGTCGGGTCGGCCGCGCCAGGATGCACGGATGCACCACGCCGTGCGAGCATCGGGCCGAGTCGGATCTGCAAAATATCGGCGTCACGCAGGAGCAACCCTAGGCCAGACTGTACTCAGGTGCGCGGCTGAAGGGGGAGCTCTGGGTGGGCCTCCGCAGGCGCGCAAGCCGCTGCTCTCGCATCGCAATCAGCGATCGGGGGCCTCATTTGGGGCCCACACCAAAGGTCGCTCCGGCGAAAGGTCACTCCTTCCGTGTAGTCGAGGATATTGTTGTGAATGCCATGACAATGGACACCCTAACAGTCCGATCATCGAATTCTAAAAATGCCTAAAACACCATGTTCAGACATCTGAAATTATTTGTCAACAGTAACATCCCTCTCCATTAATCATCGTCCACAAGAATATCGGGGAAACCAAGCGATACCGATACCGCTACTCCCCAGACCTCTGCCAGGGAGTGCGATTCCCGAAGCGAGAACCCAGCCATGACGACGAGGGCCTCTCGGGAAGCCCGCGGCGCAAAACGCGAGGGAACAATAGCGGCCTCGGTGCCGTCCCTCCTCCTGAGAGATATCGGAATCGAATATGTGTTCAACGCTCGGCCACGCGCAGAGGGGGGTTGGGGGATGGGGGCAGGCTTCTCGGAAGCACCCCTGCTTCTTAGAAGGCGCGGGCCCTCTCTGTAGATGTAAGGCCTGCGCCTTCTAAGAAGCAGCCTCCTAGGAAGCCTTCCCCCCTCCACCTACCCCCTTGTGTGCGCCGCCGAAACGCGCACCCCCCGAAAGATACGGTGCGATTCCCACCTCGCTGCGGCATGCGCAAAAGCAGCAGCGATGCCCACGGCACTCGAATAATTGGCGCTCGGCAAAGCAAAACTGCATGGCCTTCTCAGTGGTCGGCGGCAGAGGCGGCAACCTTTCAGTAAGAAGAGGGGCCCTGAAATCAGGAGAGATTTCATGGCCCTAATCATCACCCGCCTCTTGGCCGCCCCCGACCGATGCATCGGCGATGGATCGGCGACGCCGGGACGGAGAACATCGGGCCCCTGATGGCGTCGCACCGCCGTTCTCTCGGAGCCCATTGCATTGGCCACATAAGCGCGACAGCAACAACGGGGTCTCGCGCGAGGGGCATGGCGACCTCACGCGGTGGCCTGCGCGGGCCACCAGAGCGGCACGCCGCACAGAAAACGAGGGCGCTCACGCGCGGCCTTACGCGGCCAGCTCACGCGCCGGTGTCGGCGAAGAGGGCCCACAGAGACCACCGCCACCAAGAGCCCATCGATGGGGGCGACTCCTGGGCGGTGGCACGCCCGAGCGTCACCCGGCACCGCCTGACGCTCGGGCGTGCGACCGCCGAGGGGGCGTGTGGGTCTCCCCGTCGGGGCTCGCGGTCCCAGGCATCTTCCGATATGACTGCCTCGATCCGCGGCCCCCTGAGCTTCCAACGCCCTGCACGGGGCCAGCCCTGCGTCCCGGATCCGTTCTTGATGACCCTGGGGTCGGACAACAAGTCCCAGCGCCAAAATCCAGGAAAAACACGCCGCGAGTAAACAACATCATATCGTCGGAGGTCTGGGGGTGGCGGTGGGGCACCCCAAAGGGTGCCGATACCGCTGCTCCCTGGAGCTCGCCCGGGGTACGTTCTGGCCAGGACTTCGAGGCGAGCCCAGCCGCGGCGACGAGTGAATCCTAGGAGGCTCCACGAGCAAACACGAGGCAGGGGCGTACATCGGCACCTCTTCCTCCTCTGAGGCGGTGGTACAGTGGGGGCACGACCACAAGAAACCTTCCACAAGAAACCCAACCCTGCGACCCCAGGACGTCCGTGGGTTTTTGCTGTGGGAAGGTCACGTTCTCCATGGCAAACCAATCGAAACCCAAGAAACCCAGGGCACCCTGGAGGCAAGCAGGGTGCGTTTCGGCGGTGGCTCCCCCTAATGAAAACGACCTGGGACCGAAACCGACGGACCTGGACCCGCAAAAATGACGGCCGCGGCGCCCTCCCGCGAACCGAAAACGGCCTATTCGCCAATCGACGCGTCAGGGTAGGAGGTCTGTCCACCCCCGAGTAAATCGGCACCTCTTCCTCCTCTGAGGCGGCGGTATTTCTGCCCCTCCTCCGAAATATTTGGAGGCCCCGTGCCCCGCGCGCCTCGCGGAGCTCCTCTCGGCGACTCCGAAGGGCATGGCTTGCAGAGAGGGTGCGGCCTGCAGCCCGCACTCCGGGGGGGCACCCACGGGGGGGAAACGGGCGAAGATCTCGACAGAGCTCTCCGCCGCGCCCCGGGGCGGCCCGACGGCCCTGAGATCCTGGAGACTCCATTTTGTTTCGAGCTAGGCGTTTTCGCTCAGCTTCGGGCCCCGGGACCCTCACAGATCGGTCCGGCTCGAGACACGACGCAGAGATGGGGTCCAGGGGTCCGCTGGCGAGTTCCTGTGATGGTGCAATCTTGTTTGGTAGCGCCGGATCTCAGGGGGGCGTCCGCGTCCCCTGACCTTCCAGGAGGGCTAAAAAATAGCACCAGGACCTCGATATTTTAATTCCAGTCGAGGTTTTAGGCAGCCCAGATAGGTCCATAGGTCTGGAGGGCTATCTTTTCGCACTCTGGGAGGTCAGGGTCGTGCTCCCCGGGCCCCAGCGGCGCCGATCGCAGGCCACGCCCCCGACGTAGCCGTGCCCCTCGGCAGCCGCCTGTCCTCGCGGAGCTGGTCCGGCAGGCGGGGGTCCGCGGGAAGCAGGTGAAGCGCCACGCAGTGCAGGGCGGTGGTGCCCTGGGCCTCCCGCGGGCGGCGGGCGCCGCCGCCCGGCAGGCGGGCACGGGGCGGTGGCGAGGGCAGAGGAGGTAGGAGGCTCGAGGAGGAGCTGGATCCGAAGGCTCAAGGGGGAGGAGGTAGGGGAGAAGAGGAGGAGGAGGAGGAGGAGGAGGAGGAGGAGGTAGGGGGGAGAGGGGGAGAAGGAGGAGGCAGGGAAGGAGGTAGGGGAGGAGGTAGGGGAGGAGGAGGAGGAGGAGGAGGAGGAGGAGGAGGAGGAGGAGGAGGAAGAGGAGGAGGAGGAGGAGGAAGAGGAGACGCCAGCGTGCACGAAGGAGCCCAGGGACACACAAATAGATAGACACAAGCCCCAGGGCCCCAGAGATGTTCCACATTTTTTTGATGCTCGGGGTGACGCGAGGGGGGCGACATTCTGAGAAGGCGCAGCGGCTTCTTGGAAGGCAAAATCCTCCTAGAAGGACCTGGCGGCCTCTACGCGTCCTCCCTGAAGCCGGGTGGCGGGACCCATCGGTGGCCGGGGAGGCCGCGCGGGGACCTCGCTCGACAACCCACAGGCCTCGCCGAACGGTCGGTCGCCGCGAGGCTCTGGGAGCTCGGAGGTCCCCTCCT